CTCTACTATAGGTTAGGCAGATGATTGTAAACGCAGTGCATAGTTATAATTACGTTCTGTCTGTCAGGTTTTGTGACGTATTCTCAAAAAGTCCTTGGCTCTGGTATTTCAGTTGAAAAATATTGAGCAGGATTTAATGTGTAAATGTTAAATGAGAGACAGATGGAAATGACGGCCATATGGGCTCATCAAATGCATCATCCAAAGTATAAAAACTCAATATAACATTTTTACAGTGTAACAGTACTCTTACTTAAGTAAACGTTACTCTTTTCACTCTGAGTATGATCATTTCTTTTTTATATAATCTGCTGTTTTTTTTGTGACACAAGTATTATTTAAAGTCCCACTGTGCAGACAAAAAAAAAAAAAAAAAAAAAAAAAGACAAAAATAGACTGAAGTAAAATAAAAACATGTTTCATTTTGGTTGTTTATTGCACCTAAAAACAGGAGTCCTTACTCTGAGGGGGCTTGCATCTTCACAAAATAGACTCGTAAATGGCCTGAAGTAGGGCCTCCTCCTGTTTGTTTCTATGGAAATATTGTCTCCTTGGCTGTAATATCCCACAGTGTAGCATTAAATTCAAATATATTCATGGAGAATGTTCTGAAGTATGGTTTTAACTTAATTTCTATGGAATCATGCAGATCAGACACAGCGTAGCTTTAAAGTTTTGTCCTTAGAATCAATCCAAAATATGTTATGACCAGACTGTTAGTTTGTACTTCTATTTAAGAAATATAATTTTGTTTTTAAGTAATGGCTAATTTATCTACTACTCTACCCACATCTGCTCCAATTCCAGTAGTTGTTATACAAGTATAATTTTAGTATGATAAGTAAAATTTTTTCATACAATCCTTCCAATTACAACCTGCACTTGTTAGCAAATAGTATTCTTTATCTTTTCATGAACTCCCTTATTCCCAATTTAACCGAGGCCAGCCATTTAACCAGCACAAGTGCATATTGGAGCGAGCTATAGTAGATTAGCATGTCCTTCATTGTTCCCTTATCTATATTCATCATGTTATAACAATGTGGACACAGGGTCTGCTCTGAATGTGGTCTGTATTATCTCATACTAATAAGTCCAAATCATTTAGTAATACAAAATACCTCCATTGTGCCTTTTAGATTTGTTGGAATTTGTTTCATGGAGTGTGTTTTGTCTCATTCACACATGTTTAAAACTCAGACCCTGCATATTTAGGCTGAGTTCTTCTCTCACACAAAAAAACACTCTGTTCCATCTTGTGACGTTGTCTGGTAATACAGGAAGTGCTCCACTGTGTTTTTAAACTCCATACACCCTCATCTTAACCATTTGGATAATTTCAGATCTGGAATTGCCAATCTCTACTGAACAAAAAGTAACTGTAGCTGTTAACTACAGAGCATTTTGAGCTTTAAGGACGTATAGACAGCCTAACAATGCAAGATACTCAAACATGTGTGAGTTAAACAAAACTCCAAAGCTCGTACATCCTCCGTACCGTTGGAAATCTTTAGCTCCTTATCTGAAGATGGGTGAATGTAATGTCATACTCCCAAACATTCCAAGCAAAGCAGGAAACATCTTCATGGTGACAGACAGATTACCAAAAAAGTTACACAGTACACCTTCAACGCTTGTACATCTTTTCTAGTTTAAAATATTTGGCTCCTGATCTGGAAAGCAGTTCACACTGGAGATGGATCCATATGTTATGAGGCAGTATGTTGTGATTTAGAACGTCATTAATCTCAGACTCTCATGGGGAGCTGTTCTCTTTCTGAGCCAAGGGATAAAAAAAAAAAAAAAAAAAGAAAAAAGAAAAAAAGAAGCTATATCCTCCACAGTGGTTCCCAGGGGCCTCCCAAATCTGTGCATACTCAAACAAATCCTCCATCCATCTATCTGTCTCATATGCTTCCCATTTTATTGTCCCGTAGTCATCGGCTCTCTGTTCATTGTGCTAGCTTCATTGTTCTGTCCTTGCTTGGCGAACAATCAGTCTTCTCCCTTTGCATAAATCTGTATTGTAAAAAGAAATGTGCTGAATGCATATTTCTCATTTTAAAGGCCACAGTTGCCTTGTTTTTGAGAAGCAGATTACAGCCAGACACAAAAGACTGGAAATGAGCTGCGGAGGGTAGTATTTTTACACTAGAGCGGTATAGAAGGAGGTATTTGATTGTCTTGCATTAGGAACACACAACAGTAAAGATATAGGACAAGATATAGGATCAGATATTCTAGTTTTGGGGTAAATGTTCTAATGATTGAGGCACGCAAATTAAATCAAGGAAGATTTAATCTGAAAAATGTCAAATGAAATCTAAAACCTACTCACTTCAAAGAGAGAGTATTTTACTTTTAAGGGGTGTTAACAACACTTTTAAATCACCATGCTGAAGTTTTGAAAATCCTATACTCAACAAAAACAATGTATTAACACAGGGGTCTCAGACTCGCGGCCCGGGGGCCAACTGCGGCCCGCGGAAGGATTTTTTGCGGCCCTCCACTTGATTCCAAAGAATAATGTCAGTGCGGCCCGCGGTAGATGTACGCACAATCCCACCCCTCTACCGCGGGCCGCACTGACAGATGAAGCTGCAATCGGTGCCCATGCAGATTCACAACAGATTATTAACGCAGTTTACATCCCAAAACTCAATTTACAGCAGTTGTGAAGCAAAGAGTCTAAGTGGATCTGTTAATACAAGTACACGCGCACATACGGCGTCATCGAAGAACCAAAACAAACCACACATGGTGGTACACGTGTGCGCACTTCACTTTACGCTCCCACAACCACAGCATCAGAGCGCAGAGGAGGCGCTGACAGAATCCCCCTGTTCATAAGTGTGGGACCTTTATTGGAGGGGCTAATAAGAAATAAAAAGACATTGACAGTCTGTTTACCTGCTCAATACTCGGTGCGTAACTTGCTGGCAACCCGATGACCAAGCTCCACCTGTGCGTCGCCGAAATCCACGCGCACTCAGCGGCAAACACAGCTGTCCCATCAATATGCAAGCACCACAAAACTGCAGTGATCTATTCCAGAGGCTTGGCGACATGTTAGCAAAAAGTATGAGGCAAAAATAAGCCTCTTCCATCCGTGTTTGACATACGAGAAGCAGATACACTCCAGTGTGGTCCGCTTTCACACCGGCAAACGAACCAAAACTGGTCCGATTAACGAGCCTCTGTATCCTGGTAGAACAGCGATATCTCCAGTAACCAATACTGATGTTCCCTGTTAAAACCGCGGGCGTCCTCATCTTATCACCATGAACTCATAAAACAGCAACGTAGAACTTTCTACAAACTCACCGCATCAGCCCAGAGTTCGGGTAACAGCAGCAGCCAACAGCGTTCACAGTAGCGCGCAGCTCCTCAGGACGGGGCTGGGGTCTGGTCCTTGGTCTTCTGTCGTCCTACAAGCGCGTTGGTCAGATGGTCCGGAGGCTCTGTCCTCCATGTGCTGGTTCCAGACGGTGGCGAGCAAGACCAGGGCGCAATGACTGGGTCTGAGCGGGTACGTTCCGCCGTCTGCGCGCTGGTTTCAGTGTTCCGTGCGGGGAAAGTGAGAATGCGCTGTGGAATATATACCTACAGGTCTGTGCTGCTCCTGTCCTCCGCGCTCAAGAACCGCGGCTGGTTCCGAGGTGGTGCAAAGCATCCGGACAGAACGTGAATCCAGTTTAGTTGGTGTCCGCATTTGGTTCTTCCCGGGAAAAGCGCTTTTCACTCCCCGCTCCACGTCATCTGAGCCCGGACAGAACCGGAGCTGCTCCTGCTGGTTTCGGGACTCTGGTTTGGATCTAGTCCGACTGTATTTCTCACACTAGGCTAAAAGCAGGACATTTTTTTATTAAAAGTGAATCAATTGAATGGGCGATTGCCTATTGCCATAAAATTATTTGGTTAATTAAAGCCTAAAATAACAAATGCTGGTTCCTACATGATCACGGGGAACACCGGGACCTCTGTGCAGGTCCTGAACAGAAGTACACACCCCCATTTTTGACTAACTCTGGAGCCACATGTTCACACGTACTCGCTCTGGTCTTCGTGTATTACATTCTCTGTATTGGCCATTGTTGGTAAAATATTTCGAAAATGAATCGCGGCTGCATCTGGACAACAATTTTTTACTGCGCTGGAGTCGTACAGTGTGTCATTACAGGCAGGAGACGAGTTTTTCCCATGATGCATCTAGAATAGTTCGTTTGGACCTGCTGTCTGTGGCTTGGACCCGGGTTCGCGTTCACACCAGAAGATTCAAGCGAACCAAGACCACCTCTTTTTTGAGGTCTCGGTCCACTTGAGTTGGTCCGGGTCAGAGTCCGATTGACGCTTTCACACCAACGCAAACGAACCGAGCTAACCACTTCTGGTTCGAATGGATCGTTTGGTGCGCACCAAATACTGTCGGTGTGAAAGCACCTAATACAGGTCAAGGCTCACTGATGAGCATCTTCAATCTATCCTGAGGATCTCATTTGCTTCCTCCTGCAAGCCAAATATCTCTCAGCTGTACAAGATGAAGCGTAGCCAGGTTTCAACCAGCAAGGAGTAGGCAAAAGAAGAAGAGTAGACGTATTAGTTTAAACTTACGTTCTGAATACATTTTCATGTTCTGAACTGTTATTAAAGATTAAGAAAGTGTGTTGCGTGTTGTTCTTTCTCTCTCCTTTTTTCCTGTGCAACCGCTATTTATCGAATACACAATGCGGCCCAGCCTCACTCAGACTTTATCTAATGTGGCCCCCAGGTAATTTGAGTTTGAGACCCCTGTATTAACAGAAGAGCAAATGGGCTAAATATAGGGTTGTATGTTTACACAATCATGCAACTAATGATTTTATATCCCAGATAAATGTTATAAATACATGATACATATACAGTATTAGTTCAAAAATCCACATTGGGCCATCTCTATGGACACTGTAAAAAGACAATTTTCGCACAATATATGCCTTATATCTAATATGAGCCGTACTCACATAACCACAAAGTTGAGCTGCTCCTTAGTCAGGTTGAGGGGGTGGTTGGACACAGAGATGCCGTAGCTGAGAGGGTCCTGTCCCACTGGCAGGTTGCCCCTCAGGATGGCGTTGTTGGCAACGTTTATAAAGGAGGCCATGCCGTGCCAGGCTTGGTTATAGAACCACACCTGCCCAGGGACAAAATACATAAACATTAGTCTGAAAATCTACAGCAGAAATACCACTGGTGATTTTCAGATACTAGATGATGTCATACGCCCAGATGAGGCCAAGAGACAATGTTTCGTATTAATAACACTGTACTTTGCCACGGATTATTCAAAAGGGAATTCACAAATGTTGAACCTGATCATTATACCAGCTGACCTCAAGAATTCACTGTACCACAACAAAAATCTACATTTTAACTATATATATTTTAGCTGTTCCCATCTATACTTAAAGTACCACTATGTGACTTTCTGGACGTGGCATGTCACCTGCATGATTCCAAGAAAAAAATAAAATTAAAGCCAAACTTTGGGACATTTTCCATTGAGATAAACATGTTTTATGTAACACTGAATATTATAGCCATGGGGAAAAACAAGTGTAGGCCCTCTTCTGGGTCTATGGTAATTTCTGTGGAAATCCAAGCCTAATCAGAGTAAGGACAGTTTTATACATCGCAATAAACATAATACTGGCCAATAGAATGTTGTGATGCCATCTGAAACACAGCACTAACAACTGACATAAATATCAGCTTGGTTGTGAATAAAGACACATTCCAATAATTACAGAGAATTTACACCTTTGCTGGCGTTAACTAAAGGTGCATTTTCTTTTCAAACTTTTCTTGGCAATTAGAGCTGGCCTCGACGTGGCCCCATTTTCAAAGAACCATTCTGTGACAACTGGTGTCATCCCAGTTGGAGATGTTTGTTTCTTTATTTGGCTTTGAGCGCGATAACATGCAGGGAGCGCAGGTGGGAGAGAGTTCAAAGGCACATAATTGCTAGTGTCTGGCTGGTGTGTTGTGATAGCTGGTGTTGATGTAATCAGGTGTTGTTAAAGGCTCTTAAAAGCACTGTGCAGCCAATATTGTCCTGAATGGATTCTGTAGCAGCGACAAACAGCTTTCTCCACAGTCTAGAAACGAGCGCTGTAATTCCATTTGAGCTGGCCACGGTAAAAACTGTTCTATGGAATATGTCTAAACTAGCATTTTTAACTGTTCATATTTTGAGAAATAGATACTGAAGAGTATGGCAAATAAAAATATACAATTTATGCATAAAACATACTATACTACTATAGTAGTATAATACTTTTTCATTTATTTTGACTTTTTGGTGGAATAACCAGATGCACTACGTGACTTTTTCTGATTCTCTGTCTCCACTGATATGCTCAAGTTTTGCTTGAAAAGTTCCACAATATGGCATTTAACTTTTCTATTTTGTATTTATTCCTTTTATTCAATCGGTGTATTTATTGCTGTGAAAAAATCTGTTGGAAAATGTGTTCTTTGACCTGTAAATTAGATAAATTGGCTAAACTGGCTAAATGCTACACTGTGGGAGATTACAGGCAAAGAAATAACATATCCATGGAGACAAGAAGGTGGCAGGCCCTTCCCGGAAAAGACTGACAAATTGCCCATCTAAGCAATATAAGCACTACATTCAGACTCAATAAACCAATAATTCAATAACCATCGGAAATGATATATACACAAGGACCATTAATAATAAAACAGATCTCAGATTTCACTCTGCGATCAAATGTCTTTATTTCAATCTAAAATTCAGACTCTTTCATCCACTGAAGGCTCAAATTACTATATTTTAGTGTTTTATAAAACTAAAAGCACCACTGACAAACATAACTTTCTATTCAATGGGAGATAAAGGCTTTTACTGTGACTGGTGGAATCCCATAGTGCCAAAGCACACGAGCTGCAGAGAGGAAAAGGTTGTATTTTTTATTTTATTTTATTTATTTTTACAGTTTTCCTTTTTAATGTAAGGCCGCCTTCTGCGAGTGTGTGGCGTCTGGGGCGTTCAGAAGAAAAGGATGAAAGAGAGTGGGGCCCCCTGCTGATCGCGCAGCGCTAATTAAGACCGGGTTGGTGTTTGAGTGTCAGTCTAACAGAACGGCTGTGCATCAGAGACTGCACACGCACACGCACGCACACACACACATACACACATGTACGCACACACAGACACACACATATACACACACAAATGCACACACAATTGGGTTTCCAGCCTTCTTGGGGACATTACATTATTATTATTTCCTGGAGGCTGAGCCTGACTTTAAAGGTGCACTATGTAACTTTTCTGGTCTGCCACCTACTTGTCTTAATGGATATGTTGAGAACTTAGTCCAGAATGTTTCACAGTATGGTAAAATTTTCTCTCTCCATGTAATTGACCCAACCTGACCAAATTACAGGTCAGATCTGTGCAGAGGCAGGTCTGTTCACACCAAGAATCAGAGTTCTGCACTGTGCCAGGTACCCGCAAATAGTTGCTGAAAATTTAATTTAAATAGTTCTGGAATTTTACGGGCGGGTAGTGAATACACACAGGCGGGTCAAGTGAATCAAATGAATCACAAACGGGAGAAAAAAACGTTCATTGCCCTGAAAACAAGTGCCATTTCCTGGTCTTTTCCTGAAACTATGGCAGACCAGGCTGAGAGACTTTTGTGTATTTATTATATAAAACCATCAGCGTAGGTGATCGGCTCAGTGGCTGCGCTCCTGGTTTAGTCCTGATTTAGACCTGGTTTAGTCCTGTTTTTTTTCCTAGTTTTGTCCTGGTTCAGTCCTGTTGAGGCGTGCATATAGTTATAATCCACCAATGACACGGTGTAGGTTCAGTCCTGGTTTAGTCCTGGTTTAGTCCTGAACTATTATGCCGTTGGACTAATGGGCTGACCTCGATTTATCACATGCACGACAAGTAATGGGTGGAATGTTAACAGATCCTGGGCGGTTGTGGATTTAACTTTGATATAATCACGGGCTAACGGGTGGGGGGTGTGGTGCTGTAGTACACTGGTGCAGGTCTCCAAAAATTATCTCGTGCAGGGCTCTGCTAAGAATGCATGTTTATCAGGGTATTTTAGCAGTAACAACACCTGTAATTGAATATTTACAGCAGGGATGAGTTTTAATGCTGTACTTTGGAGCATGCATGACAAAGCAGTAATATCTCGGTAGCGATAAGCAAGCAGCAGAACCTCCACCAAAGTTAAGCAGTGCTACTTTATCCATAGTTATTATTTGACTAATCTAAACCCTCTTAACATATTTAACCCATATCTGAACTTTGAATGCTGTTATTGATTTGATAATAGAGGATTTGCAACATGGGGACCTGGATTTTGTCCCCATAAGAGAAGCAAGTCCCCCACAATGTGATAAATATCAGCACAAAGTCAAGTCAGTAACAGGCTTACGCAGCAGTTGATACGATCTCCCCATCGCAGCGTTTTATCTTTTAAAGTCCTCAAAGGTCTAAAGCTCAGGTCTGATTCATGAAAACAGAAACGCTTTGAATATACTTAAGCCTATAAAATGATAAGTTAAAAGGCTTAACAAGTATACGGTGGAAATCAATTCAAGTGTCATGATTTAAAATACTATTACTACCATTACTGCTATCATAATTTAAACTACTATTGCTGCTACTAAGGTACTAAGTATACCCTTCTGGTGCAGGGTCCATAACGGCTCTCCGTGGAGATGTTATTACTCTTTCTGGAATGTACGACTGTACGGCCTTAAACGTCTATAAAAATACATTCAAAATCATCCACAACCTGCTTCCCTGGAGACAGATAAATTTAAGAAAAGCTTTATAGTACACTTTTATACTACTACAACTTTACTCCTAGCTTTACTCCTAGCTTACTCTAAGTCTGTGTCTGCATTTCAACATAACATGCATTAACCACAGTTCACACAATATCTGATCCTTTGTCACACCAATTATGTTTCAATCTCTGATCATTATCCTGATTATTTTGGTCAATATTAAAATCACAATTATTCAAATGATTATTTTTTAGTTGATGCATTTTTTCAGCATTTCTTTCTCAAAAAAAACAAAAAAAAAAAAACAAAAAAAAAACAAAAAAAAAAACAACACTTTGTTACTGATAATTTATGCAAAACTTTCAAATTGAAAATAAATATAGGCTACAAATATGAACCTTAGAGCAGTTTTGCGATGTATAAAACATAAAATTAATAAAATATACTTTGAACATAGAAAAACATAAATGTAACCAAAATAAGCTATATACCCAGCTGTTCTATAATCTCTATATTTAAAAAAATAAAATAAATATACTTAAATATATATGAGATATATAAAAAAATATCTCAAAAATAAACTTTGTTTAGCTTTAAATCATTTCAACTCGATTATATGAGTTTGGAGATCGTGTGATACACAAATCAAAATCGTGATCAAAATTCGATTAATTGCACAGCCTTACTTATAGCTCAAACTGTTTTATTATTTCCTGTACAGCAGTATTTATATCTTAAATAAGTTGAAACTTTCCACCTACTGACTGATCCAAAAGCTGAGAATCACACATCCTAGTGTAATTAATTTAACAGAGTTATATTTAAGATTTTTAATCATCGCTGTCATAGCTGCCACAGGAAGGCCTTAATAAATCAAAGTGAAAATAAGTTATCTGTTGTAACGTTAACAAGGAAATTAATCAATGCACTTTCTTAACAGAATTTAAAATAATGAGTACTTTGCACCTATGATTACAGTGTATTCGGTCTATCAGTAATGAAACTTTTAACCTCAACCAAAGTTCAGTTTTTAAGTGCTCAGTAATGCATATTATTTTTAATTAAATTATCACAGACTAAAAATCTATTCAGTATGATTGTAAAATAGAGACAGTGTAGCCAAAAGACGTCAATAATGGTACAATGATTATTATATTGAAAATGTATAATTATAACGGTTTGTGATTGAAGTTATCAAGCATCCACATTGAAATAGAAGACACATAAAAATACTAGAATGGGCAAAACATTGGTACATTCAGCTTTAGATTTATATTCAGCATTTTTGAACGTCCAGTCTTACTTTGACATCAGTTATGGGTTTGTAAGGAAATCCATTGTACTTCTGTATGCATGTTATAACAGTACCAAATTAACCAGAAATGCAGGCATGATAATTGTGACACAAAGATATTTTTTCCTGACAAAAACTGTGAAATCAAAACCAAAAAGTTAGCAACCATTACCTTGAGGTTGTCTCTGGTCCCGAGCTGCTTGGAGAGAGCCTGCGCCCTCTGCAGGAACTCATCAGTCACGTTATCCTAATGAAGATATGGAAAAACAAGAGGGAAAAACAAGTTGGAGAGTTGGAGTTAATTGGACACACTTGGAAAACCACCAGACCTCTTTGAAATGCAAAAACATGAAGAGGAGGCTGACGAAGATGAAGACTTCTGTAGAAGATTTGGGTTCACTGAGCCACTTACATCCCACAGAGCTGTGTCCCTGTTAACGCGGCTTCTTGCATTTCTTGACATCTCTGTTTTATTTAACAGTGAGGAATAATTAAAAAGCATTGCAGAGGGGAAATGAGACTAAAAATGTTAAGTAATTGCTTAATATATTATGTTTATTTCTGGGTATAATAGGGTATTAAGTGCCACTTTATAATAACTACACTTTAATTAGTCTAAATAAACCGTTTATGAAGAATAATTCAAGTTTAGTAACTACTTAAAAGTGCACTATGTAACTTTCCTGAGGGGGTGTATTCTACTTGCTTGTCTCCTTGGAGATGTTATTGATTTTCCTGAATGGTTCAACAGTATCACATCCACTTACTTCATTACAGATATTTTTGTTGCTCTAAAATACCTGGGGAAAAAATATAACATCACTGTTTGAAAGATTGTTCCTCCACAGATCTGACCTGTAACTTGGCCTGGTGTTGTCACCTGCTTGTCTTCATAGAGAAGAGCACGTGCAGGGCCCCAAACAGAAAAGTTACACTGTGCGTTTTTAATCAATACTTAACCCAAACCCCTAATTAAGCAATTATAATCCTGAATCATTTTTAATGAACTATTTGTTCATTATGAATTCAGTCTTTGTTGACGTTTTATTACGGCTAATTAAGATGCTGTGATTATAAGGTATAAATATTATAAATTACAGTATTTAAACTATTTACTTCCCTGAGCGATAGTAGCTTAGTGTTTGCCCACTGATCCGAAGGCTGGCAATACAAATCACATTCTTAACATGAACATCGTTGGTAGAGTGATCAGATCCACTGATCCAAAGGTTGGCAATGCTGTTGTTATGTCCTTGAGCAAGAAACTTAACCGACCTCACCACCCGTGTCTGAGTACACTGGCTTGTATGTGTGTGAGTGGGTGAGTGGTTCCTTGACGTAAAGCACTTGAAGGTAGCACTCCATGTGACCATTTACCATTTAAAGGTGCACCAATCTATAAATAAATCTATAGAAAGATAGATTCTACAGCCAAATGAGCCTCTTCCATGTGGCAGCATATTAATAATGTATTTTCAGATTACTTTTTTCTGAAAATTAAAGAAGACAACGCACGCTTCATTTAGCTGAAACCACAATTCTCGTACAGTCTGTTTTTGCTGAACGGAATGATGAAAACCGTTTTCACCAAAGCAAATCTCGGTGACAGTAGTCCAGAATTACTAAAACAAATGTTTCTTTTGACAAGGCAAATAATAACTCCCTTCCAATACTTCCACCGGTACAATAACAACAACAAAACAGTGTCTGCTTTCTTCCAATTGTGGCATTGTGGACAAGATAAGTCTCAAGTGGACATATAAAAGCGGGACTATACTCAGATCACACTGTACGTCAAATGAAGCTTGGGATGAGAGTTCGGTATGACAGGCGTGCGATTTTCCCAAAGTGTTATGTCAATGCACCCTGCTGCTTGTGTCCTCCGTAAAGCACTGAACACATTACGCTATGTGATATAAATGCAAATGTACCTCCTGGCCTTCATCATTTGTGAGGAAGAGGACTGGGCCAGGTAGGGAGGGGGCGAGGAGAGGGAGGTCGAGGAATGAGAGGAGAAAAATCAGCACAGACATCGGCGCGCGTTCTGGTGCCTCGGTGAAAAAGCTCAAATGTACCGGTATGTGGAAGATAGCAGGAGATACGTGTAGCCTCAAGACAGGTTCCTAAAAAGATCATAGAGCGCTTTTGTGGTTCCTGTCCCACAATCCTTCACTCCGACGCCAACGCTGTGCTGCTCTGTGGCACCTGATAAATTTGGAAATATTTTAGGAATATGCTCCTCTTAGCTTCCCTTTGCTCTGTCATGGGTGCTGCCTGCATCTTACTGGCTTTACCGTAACACAATATTTACAGAGTGTTTCGGCTACACAGCAGTATACAACGCACTTTGCATACACCTACGTATAGGGAAAGAGCAAGGACAGATTTTCATACCGGATAATGTTGAAGAGGAAACAACATTCAAAATAAGCACTTAAGTAAAACTACTACTCACTCCTTCTACTTAGACACGCAGCGTTTTACATTTGCACTTAAAAAATGCCAACTGCTATTACTACCTTTTTTATTCATGGGTTTTAGCTTCCTGTTGTAGGTGACATTTTGAAGACTTTCTATCATTCAAAAGAGGTAATAATTTGTTTTAAATTGTCAGTTTCTATGGCAACAGTCCTCAATTTTCATCATTCTGAAACCCGTGAATGGATCTGATTCTACACCTGGTCGTACTTGCAATCAAACTGGTATTACTATGAATGTTTATACTATGGGGTTAATACAAATATTTTAATTACTGCTTCTTCTACTACTGATCCTTGTGTCCACCACTTGCTTATATCCGTAGAGTCATTATTGCTTTTCTTGGAATGTTAAAAATTATGGCATTAACCTGAGTATCTTGCATTTATTCAGTTGCTAAAATAATAAAAGCATTCATTGTAGCAAAAAAACAGTTTAATTCCACTTACCTCCCACCGTTCCTATCTCAGCTGATTGTATTTCCATTGTAACTGTTACTGAAATGTCTGCTACTTCTGAATTTAGTGCAATTATTATTATTTTTTGTTTGTTTAGCGTGGTTACGGAAAAAAAAAGTGAGGTAGTTGCATTAATTTCTGGTTCTTTACACCATTGTCTTACAAGTTTTGCGCATAATAACTGATTCAATAGTTGTTAATTCACTTGAACTGTAACAAGACTTCTTACATCGTCTCCCTGAATAATAGGGATTGTCTTCAGCCTAACTGGTGTATACTGATGTTCTTCTAGTGGCGGTGGGCAGCGTAGTGTAGCACCAAACAGGCAGTATTTGTGAAGGATTAGCAGAGTCTAAACCCAGATGAGGAGCGGGCCAGCGGCTGTCTGCATCTAATCCCCGTCAAACTCATCCGTGCTCAAGGACAATGTGGCTGCTGTGGCCTGTAGACCTGCCAGATTCCAGGGTAACTGTACAACAAGGGAACTCAAGTATGGCCGAAGATAATCCACAGAGATCAACAGTTTAGTCTCTGTCGCCTGTGCAGAGGTGACTGTTGTCTTGTCTGCATGAGTCACCCTATTCATGCATTTCAACTTCTTGTTATATTTTCCCCATTCAAAATATATACTTTGCTTTAAAGGTCTTATATTACACAAAAATGACTAAGCTTAAAGCTGTGTTCAAAAATTGTTAAGTCCCCCAAAAACTTACCTGGAGTTGTTTTGTTTCATTCACACATTTGAGTAATCCTTAAGTATTAGTCTCTGTACACCTCCAAAGCTCAAAATGCTCCGTTCCACCTTGTGATGTCATGCAGAAGTAGTATTTAACAGCTACCTTTTACGTTTAGTTCAGTAGAGATAAGCAAATCCTGAAATCATCCAAATGATTCTAGAGAAGGTGTATGAAGTTTAAATACACAGTGGAGGATTTCCCGTATTACCACATGATATCACACATTCATTTGAGAAAAGAACTCAACCTAAATATGCAAGGTTTGTGTGAAAAAACAAAAAACAAAAACACAACTCCAAATATGTTTGTGATGAGGAAACAACATTAAGTTCAGAAATAATGTAATGGGCCCTTTAAATCTGAAATGGACAGGTGGATGTTGTCCTAGAAGGAGCCACCCTCCATCTATTCTATTCTGTCCGTGGACCTTGGCTCCACATACTTGAACTCTTGCAAATGGCTGTTGTGACCTGAAGACCAGCCAGACACCAGGAAACTAGACAACAAGGAAATACAAGTGCGGCCGACTTCTCTGGACGGTAATCCACAAGGGCACTAACAGTCTAGTCTATATATGGCTTACGCAGAGCTGAATGTTGTCCATCTATCCATGTACTATGTAACTTTTCTGGTTGAGGGTACAGTTTGTCTCCATGGAGATGTTATTTCCAGACCAATCCACATGAACTAGAAATTGGCACAAAGTTCAATGGCTTCTCTGTCATCAAAACAAAGTAAAGATTTTTTTTTTTTTTCCGATTTCGAGCACCCACCGCAGGCCTGGCTCCAGGGTGGGGCCCCGTTAATGCCAATCCGGGCGACATAAGTGATAACTGGCCTTGCTTTATTGCTCATTTTAAGGGCTTCTGAACTGCTTTTAGTCCGATCCTTCCCCTAGGACCTGTTTGCCTTGGGTGACCCTACCAGGGACATGAAAATCCCGACAACATAGCACCCAGAAACATTTGGACACTCAAACCACTCTACCAAATTAAGGTGGCGGGCATCTCCCACCGGTATGAGGCCCAGAGGAAGACCCAGGACACGCTGGAAGGACTATATCTCTAAACTGGCCTGGGAACACCTTAGGGTCACCCCGGAGGATCTGGAGGAAGTGTTCGGGGTGCGGGAAGTCTGGGAGTCCCTGGTTAGACTGCTGTCCCCACGACCTGGCCCCAGATAAGTGGAAGAAAATGGGTGGATGGAGAATTGGGTCAGATAGACAGCTGAATTGCCATTACAACTCCTTACAAGGTAACAGCCAAGAGGATTAAAAAAATGTATAAATATAAATATAACCACTGTCTAGACCAAAATAAATATAATAATAATAATAAGTGTATGATTTTTGCCCAGTTAATTACCTACTTTGACAGAATAGTTTCGCCTGTCTTTTGCTTTTCCTAGAACCGAATACAGTTTGGAATCTTCTGACAGTTAATTTAACCTAATTAGCAACAATAATTAGCATGGCCCGTATCATGTAATGGAACTTGTCATCCAATTTGTCCACAATGACTGTGATAGGAAAATGAAAGACCACTTGTATCTTGTAGGATGGGGTAACTACAAAAATATAAACAGTTTCTACATAATAACACACTTTGCCACTCGAGATTTGTTTTGCCTTAATTATAAGTTTGGATCTTGTGGACTTTCTTCCTCTCATCCTTCCCATCATGCCTCGCAACACAAAGCCCTTATTTTTACCTACGAGACAAGGATTGCAATTAAAGAGAAATTTTCAGACCCCATTTTCTGGTTTGGGCAGGTGCAAAAAAGCTAGTGGTTTGTGTCAAAATGGTTGTAGTGAGACAAGCAGTTTCCAGGGACAATATGAGGCTCTAAAGTTACCATCTGTATTTGTTTTGGGGTTTTTTTTGTTCACCAATAGATGGCACATATGAAACATGTTTCCCCCTCATCCCTCACATCACCTGGCTTTTGTTTAGGCTCACCTGTGCTCTCTGGTCAGACCAAAGCCGGTACACTATCAGACAGAAGTAACTTAGGTAACATCTAGTGGTGAAATGTGTGAATACAACTGGGACAGGTCTAATTGCAGATGGTAGCTTTAAAGGACCAGTGTGCAAGAGTTCAAATCAAACATAGCTTTTGTAGATTACAGTTGCAACGTTGATGTATTCTTAATTACAAAAACGCGTTGTTATAATCACATCTCCACAGATCTGACCTGTACATTTGCCTGGAGGTGTCACCTATTTGTGGAGGTTTTCAGGCAAAGCAATAAGATCTCCATGGAGACAAGCAGGTGCCATCCACAAGAAGCATCTTTATTTCTTTTTTATATTTACGTTTTTAGCCATCTCCTTCAGGCTGCTTTTCTGTGTCCACAGTGATTTGGCCTTGCATGTTCTACCAGCATGTCCTTCTTGACATTTTTTATTTATTTTTTTCATCCTTTAACATGTACAACCTTGCTTTTATTTGTCATAAACATGGTTGTCTTCTAATAGGCCTCTCTTCCATTTTGGCCTTGTTAAGATTAAAAATGTTTTCAAGCATGACAGTTTAAAAGGTGAAAATTTGCCGAATGCCCATGGACCTTGTGTTTATCCTTTCTTTTTCTGTCAAAACCCTAGATTGGTCCATTTACTGAAAGCGATGCCTGTTGCCATGGTCACTCAACAGATTCCATTTGGAGAACTTAACCGCGCCTCTTTCTTTCTTTCGCTCTTTTTTGCCGTTTTTATCCTTTCTCCCTCTTTCAAGGCCTCATCGTGGCTCTGCCGCAAGCAACCTCACCTGTATCCAAGGCACAAAGCTTGGCGGACAAAGAACTCCACGCTCCATTTAGAAAGAAGACCGGCAAACCGCAGTCTCTACAGAAGAAAAATGGTGGCCGCAACAACCAATTGGAGAAGAAAAGAAGTAGAAAGTTGCAATAAGAGGAGCAGAAGTTGGTAAATGCCACTAGACAAATGTCACAACAATAGTAATGATGATTAACTCAGACTAAGGACATTTCACACAGGAAGGTGACTCAGAAAGCACACAGGGGATGTTCAGGATTTGTGTACTTAAAAGTATCAATGAAATAAAACAATGTGGTTATTTTAGACACTGATTTTGGGACCGGGGCTAACAAACCTGTGTCAGTGAGTCAGCATCCAATAGTTACAGCTGGGATAGAGCTGCCAACCTTCCAGTTATAAGATGATCTGGAACCTGGCCGCCAATCTGTTACTGGGTAAAAGTAACATTTTATAATAACTACCGTATTTTACTATAAGTCGTACTTTTTTCATGGTTTAGGTGGTCCTGCGACTTATACTCCAGTGCGACTTATACATTAAAATTTTCAGACTGACAGCCACGAGAGGGCACTCTAGGATTGTGTGTCAGTATCTAGTTCTACTTTTACTCCTGTACAACTGTCACTTCACTCTACTGCGCATGTCTCCTGTAGTAAAAGCTACAAACAGTGAAATATGCAGCTGAAAACAGTAATCGAGCAGGAGAAAGGAAGTTTTGAGTGAGCGAGAAACTTGTGAGGGACTGGCGGAAAGCGGGAATGGAGAACACAGCTACACAGCAACCGGGCGGGTGCACCATGTAACTTTCCTGAAAGTCACTGGATGAATCAACAAAGCCTGACCTTCAATGACAACCGTAACCATCCTGATGGGATTCAGAAAGGCCAGAATAATTTTAACTGGAACCGATGCTGAGTCTGACGACAGCTACGCAGAAGAGGAAGCGGCGCTCCGTTTACATCATGGATCTATGGTTTATCTCCGGTCGCGCAGAAGTGACACCGAGGATGAAGAATTCAGTGGATTTAGTGATTTGAAGTGAGATCGTGAGTTTGGTAAACTTATGTTCTGTTGTTTAAGCTATAGTTATCTGAATAATGGTTAATATGTTACGTTAACATATGAATGCCTATTCAGCCTGTTGTTCTTTATTCTACTGTTATTACTATAACTTGCCTTTCAAGATGAAAGGTCGGTTCCTGGTCTCTGATTTTATAAAATACTTTTCCCCAAAAAGTGCAACTTATAGTCCGGTGGGACTTTGTTGTTTTTGATGATTTTGATGATTTGATGTCTTTTTCTTCTTCATTGTGCATTTTTTGGCTGGTGCGACTTATACTCCGGAGCGGCTTATAGTCTGGAAAATACGGTATATATTTATATCATAAATTAAACTCAAAGCAGGCTCAAAAACATATCACTTTAGAATGATTCAGGCTTAGTAAGTACTTAATAAGGTTTGCTTCTATTAAGTAAGTATTCAACAATTTCTAGTTCCCTTGATGTTTGAGTGTGCCTCTCTGATTCTGAACTGTATGTTGCAACAGTGAAATTTTCCAAACAAAGACTAAGGGACACGGTTATCATATATTTGTATCTTATCTTATTTGTTCTTTTGAAATTAAGTCTTTTGTTTGTTCGTTTTAAGACTCCTGCTTAAAATTACAGAATTGCTGTTGTGTCACACCACTACTACTAGTTGCTCATATTACTGCACATACTGCATACACTGCAGCCACTCTGTCTCCCATCACTGCTATGCTATGCTGCATACTATTCTTGTATTTATTTTAGAATAGTACAACCTTTGACCTCTCCCAACAATAGACACATTCCCTTTCAACAGTAATTCAATATCAACAAGTGCTCTTTGAGTGGAGGAAGGTCATGTGGGCTCATACTTGCAGTGTACTCAGAATGTCTTTGAGATCGGTGAAGGCGTGTTCGATCTCCGCTTCAGTCAGCTGTGCTTGGGAGTTGACTCCTCCAACCGAGATGCCTCCATATCTGTAAGGTGGGATATGAGAAAGTTCAAGTAAAAGTATGTGTACAAAGTGGTGGGGGCACTGTTACAATATACTGCATATGTTGAAGAGTATGCGGTTTCAGAGCACACACACATTTATGAATATATTTTTTGGGTAAAATGTTCTTTCAATGTAGAGAAGAGATGGCAGATGTCATTCCTGTTTTGGATATATGCATGTTTAAATATGCTATTTTAAATATTGTGTATATAGTCTTAAAACTAGAAGTAAATTCATGCAAAATCTGTATACAAATGAGGCATCATGGGGGTATTATTGTGACAAGTATGCACTTATGGAGCAGAAATCACAGAAGTCACAGAAATATAAAGTCTCATTTTATGACTACGTAGTAGTATTCAACAAAATGTATTTTATTGTTGTGTATTTGGGCAAGTATTTATCATAGTGACTATTGTTAAGATTAGGATTGTCTCCAGGAAATTAATGTTAGTCTGTGTAATGGTAGTGCAGGTTAAACTTATCCATATATGTTTCTGAATCTTACAGTAGTGGTAACACTTTACAAAGTGTAAACTTAGCCTAAAATGTATGTAGTATTGCGAAACTTAACAATAGGCCACATTCATTTTTACTCACAATGTAACTTTTCTAGTGTGTGTGAGTTTCCATGAAATATTCTAGAGTACAGCATTAAACATCCATTTTGCATTTATTGAAGCACATGTGATTTTATTGCTCAAAAATGTCCCTGTAGACAAGTTTAATCCTACACTGTGGAGCCTCTTAGGCAGAACAATGACATCCCAATGGAGGCAAGCACGATAAGTTCCCTCATAGTTACACCTTTGTCAATATTTATTGCAGTTTGTGTTGTCACAATACTAAAATTTCAGACTCGATTCCAATACTAAGGAACAGACCCGATACTCAATGCCGATTCCAATACTGCGGTGATAATAAAAAACACAACAGAAAGACATTTTCAGTATTCAGTGGTAGTACTTTCTTTCATATTACCATGTAGCCTTATCCCTCAGTTGTCCAGGTAAGTTCCATAGTGGTCCATGGGCATAAACTAATCTATGTGCGCTTATATTTGTTCTGATACAGATCAAGATCATTCTAAAGCTATTCCGGAAAGTATCATTTCTTTCCTGTGAATGTGACTTTGTTAGTATCAATACTTTCTCAAATGAGTATCTAGTTACTTCCGATACTAGTTTCAGTATGGATTATTATTTGTTTTTCAATACTTTTGACAACATTAGTTACAATATGTCTAACTTCAGTATAGATTTCTTGTTCCACCTCTATAGAAACAAAAATAACATTCCCACACACACCATCCAAACACTTAACTATTAATCATGTTGGCAGTCGGCAGTGAATGTGCTGCTGGCGTAAAATGACAGGTTAAAGGAAGCGTATCTAAGAGCGCCCCAGCAGGATTTGTCAGACTGCGACAGGACCGTAACTCGTGGCAACCAAAATGGCATCGCAGCATGCACCACCATGTCCTTTCATTCATTCAAGTATCGCCTGACCTTCTCAAAATGGATGCAACAGTAACCAAGCTAGTCATCTCTGCCCTCTTTTTTAAAAATCATCCTGAAAATATCAAAGTACTGGGACTATAACACATGTTTCTTTGTCAGAAAATGGCACTAAAATCAAAGGGTTTTTATGCTGTTACTGGTACAATATTAGAAGTGAAAGTACCTCTTTTTGCCCTGTTTTTCAAAGGTTTTGATGAGAAAATCGGTCATGTTTCGGCCAGTCATATTCTGCAGGGTGTCTGTTGTGTTCTGGACTCTCTGAAAAAGAGAAAAAAAAAAACACAAACAAGACAAATAATTAGAAGATTTAATTAATTTCTGCAAGGCAATTTCATTATAAAAGTAGACGTGGGTGTGATCAATTGCTGCTTTGGAAATGTGCAAAATTACAATATTAAGTAAAGCATATGGTCTAGAAAAATTAATATTAAATGCCACAAAAAGAGCTAATAAAATGGTAATTAACTTAGTAATGTAATCCTTCAAAAAAATCATTATTATTTATATTTATTCATTTTCATACATTTTACCGTTTATTCACGCATTACACAATACTTGAATCCCAACCAAGACATTTTCAGGTAGGTTTTAGCACATTTCCTAGGACAATATAAAAGGTCAGGATTCCCTACCCATTTGTAAAAGCTGATTTTTGTGATTTCAACTCTACATGTTATGAATTCACATGCAAAGAACTGTCCTTCTATAAATTTGTTGTAATATAATAGTATTAAGTTTTTTTCATCAGTTTTAAAGCAGAACAATTATGCCAAATAGACTTTTTAACCATGTTATAATTGTTTGTCTTTCTCATTTACTCTCTTCAAGTTGTATTTGAACTGATTTCTGCACCTTTATCAAGCGATTTTAGACTAATATTGCCATTTAAAATATGCAAATTATGACATAATGATCCATGGTTGTCACGGATTATAATTATACAACAGGCTCACGCAAATAAGAGCTTTGGGGCGAATGAGGAAAAAATTGATTGCTGTTTTTGTAATTTTCTGTGGTAACTAATGTACCAAGAAAGTTTAGTTTATGAATGACTTGGGGCATTATATGGATTCATGTAAAATAACATAACATAATAGAAAATGAGCACACAAACAGCCATTACAAAGTTTTAGCTGAATAGTGTACATTGAAGATTTTGGTCAGAGTTTTACATCCTAACATTTTAAGCATTGCACCATATAGAAACTGCCTGCAAGCAGTTTGCAAGTTTGAAACAACTTTTTAATTCCAAGTATGTATCATAACAAGTTTACTCCAGTTGCAAATCAAGACCAGAAATCAATTTAATATGGCCATAAAATTATGAGTAAACAGACGCCATGTTAGGTCCCCAGAGACTTTAAGGTCAAATGCTCACTTCCTGTTGCTTCACTTTCAGCTTTTAGTTTTCTAGCAACTTTTCAAATAAGTTTTCAAGTTCAGCAAGAGACCACAGCGTACATTACAAACTTTGCATACTATTTGATTCAACATGACAACAATAACTAGCTAAAGTTTTTTCCTTGTCTTTGTTATAAGCAACTTTATAATCACTAGCGAACCGCAATCGCAGCCCAGCCACCCATAAAAACACAATGCCAAAATTTCCTCAAGATAAAATATACGTACATTTTGCAGGTGCTATACGCCGCAAACCTAACTCTCTCGACCCGATCATAATAGTCAATTAGGCTAGGCTATGGGCGTTCTTGCTAAAACTCAGACCGCTGGCATCGCTACCCCAGTGCTGTGTAATGTAGAGGAGCCTTAATTAGATGGCCTTCTGAGGATAAATGGGTGCGTTCAAACATCCAATTAAGAGAGCACCAACACTTGCTGTGTGTGGACGGATACAGGCAGTAAATACACGGCGGCGGTGTCTGTTTCGAGAGGGAACACGGGGGTAATTAGCAGAGTGATCCTTGATAAAGAGCCACTAAGACCCCTGCCTGCGACGCCTTTGTGAGAGACCCCCCTGGTTGGTTAACACGCAGTGGTTTACGCAGGATAGAGTTCAATGTTGACAATTTGACATACCGAGCTAAAGGTGCATTGTGTAACCTTTCTGGCGGAGGGTTCGTCAAATGCTTTGTCTGGAATGTTTCACAGTATGGCATTAAAACTTTCTATCTTCACGAAGCCCAAACCAGACCAAGTTACAGGTCAAATATGTGGAGAGGTAACCCTGCTCACAGTGAATGCCTATTTTTCTAGGTATTTTTGAGCCATAAAACCACCTGTAATTGAACAAATGTAAGGTTTTAAGTCATTTAATTCCATATTGTGGAACATTCCAGGCAGAGCAGTGACATTTCCATAGAAACAAGCAGGTGGTGGAACCCCAATCAATGTAGTGCACTTTTAATTTTATTGAGACTATTTTTATTCACAAATAAAGATGAACTATGTAACTTTTCTGGCGGAGGGTTCGTCAAATGCTTTGTCTGGAATGTTTCACAGTATGACATTAAAACTTTCTATCTCCATGGAGACCAAACCAGACCAAGTTACAGGTCAGATATGTGGAGGTGTGACCCCACTCAAAGTCCGAATGCCTGATTTTCGAGGTATTTTTGAGCTATAAAACGATCTGTAATTGAATAAATGTAAGGTAGAGCCATTTAAAGTCGTACTGTGGAACATTCTAGTCATAACAGAGACATCCATAGAAACAAGCAGGTGAAGAAACCCCAGGCAACGTAGTGCACCTTTAACTTTATTGAGTTAAAAGCCCATTTTATTTCACAATTAAAGTCAACTATGCAACTTTTCTGGCGAATTGTCCACCATTTGTTTGTCTCCATGGAGATGTTAACGCTTTGCCCAGAGTGTTTTGCACAATATGGCTGGTCTAACTTGTAATTTACTCAAGTACCTTTAATCAGAAAAGTTACTTAGTGCACCTTTGTTGTTAAAAATGAGCACTTTAAACAACTATAAACACTACAATAGAAAACAAAGGTTAAAGGTGCAACTTTTCTAGTAGAGAACATCTGACATCTACATCTCTGAGAGGTTATTGCTTTCCAGGGAATGCCCCACAGCATGGCATTAAACTTATCTATCAAGCAGGCGATGCTACCAGGCCATGTTACAGGTCAGATGCAGGTTTTTCCAGCAAGGTTTGGCTGGTGAGCAAAAACTAAAAGCTATTTTCGTTTATAGTTTTAAACACCTTTGTAAGAAACAGTACTATGATATTATGTTTCACTCTTAAAACACATAATTACAGTCAATTTGTTATGAATCCTAAGACGCACACGGTAAATTGAAGGATACGGAAAAATAGTGAATAATCAAATGTATAAAAGACAAGACATGGTGGTAGGAGTGAGTGGAAGCAGAGCACCCATCTGGCTTAGGAATCACAGATAACACACATGAATGCGGCGGCAACCTTGGCTTATCTCTGAATAAACATACTCTCCTTTCACAAAAACATCGGAATTCAAAAACAAACAAAATGGAAGAAATGCGCGCTTCTCCACTGGCACTGCCAAAGAATGCAGTCGGCAAGGGTTTTAATTATGTTGGCTTGGGTCCATATCCTGTCAGAAGTGACTCAAATAGGCATATAACATTATAGTGTGAAACCAAGGTCTCTCCTCTGCAGTTTCCTTGTATGTTATCTTGACTATGTTTGGGATTCAGTTCATGACATGAGCTCCCCGGTACACAGCAGCAGCCTGATAGCTGATGATGCAAACAGAGTTGAGAGAAATGTAAACTAAGGGGTAATCAAATGGGGTGAATGACTTGGCATGCTCCACCACTGCGGCGATAAGAGACTGCGGACCGTTCATATAAAAACTTGGCGTGCGTTTTATCGCTCGCACCCTCCAAGGTAAATGTTATCTTGGGCATATGTACAAAGCAAGCAGACGGAGGTGTGAAGTTGTACTGATTAATTGAGTATTATTCATTAAAGGTGCACTATGTAACATTTTGGGGGAAGGTCCACTACCTGCTTGTCTCCATGGAGATGTTATTGCTTTGCCTGTAATGTTCAAGTAAGGTATTAAACATACATCTAGATTTTTTTATTTTTTTTCCATTACAGGTGTTTCTGTTGGCCAAACCTCAAACCCAAATACCTTCAAAACAAACATCTTTACTGTGCATGAGCTTGCTCTCCACAGATCTGAATAACTTGTCTGGTGGCTCCAACCATTCATCCCCATGGAGACCTTATGTTTTAATGCTGTACTGTGGAAAATTCTAGCCTCATTTGTCAGCCGGTTTCACTTCGTGGAAACCGTCTGACCTCACAGCATTAGGATTCGTTCACTCGTTAGTTGATGGGTACTTTTTTATTTAACCAATCGCTGCTATTTGGTCGTGACATATGTAATGCTCTAAATCCCATAGGAAGAAGGGCAATAACATATTTCCCCTTGATAAAATTCACCAAACATTTTCTTTGTTCTGGCTTTAAATCCTTGATCTTGGGAATCACTGGTAACACAGAATGTTTGGCTTCGTCTACATCCATCTCGACCGCTTTGTTTACTGTTGTGCTGCGCCTGTCAGGGTCCACAAAAGGGACCCAGACAGGCGCTTCAGTTTGACTTCATGGCTTCACAGCTCTTCACTGATTGACTGACTGGTTCTTGCAAACCGTCTAGTGTATTCTGATTCCTGACCTAGTCGCTGGAGAGAAATGAAATTGAGCAGAGGCACTAGGTGGCGCCAGCCTGGCTAGGAGAATTCTGGGCAAAGCAATAATGTCTTTATGGAGACAAACAGGTGGCGGACCCTCCACCTGACAAGCTACGCAGTGCATCTTTAAAAGTAAGATTTGTAACGCCAATGATTTTGATTCCAGCCTGAAAAATCAAATGCCTGTATAAAGTGAAAATTTTGAGTAATTTAAATGGTTGTCTATGCATAATTAATAATTAATAGTGCGTCATGTACAATATTTACAAATGTGTTTATTTTATTTATCAGGCTGTATGGGGATTAGTGTCTGGAGCTTGTATAAGATACACTGAGCATGAAACCAGTTGTTGAATTGCTTACAGGGCCTGTGGCAGGTTAAAGGTCTCAGTGGAGAAATACTGAACAAATCAGGGAGACAGGCAGTTATATAACGTACCTTTTAATAGAATGATGCTACTTTTTTCCCATTACTATCAACTTGGGGATGAAGTTGGTAGGTTTCAATCAATAACAAGAACATTGCTACATACTAATAGTTAGGGCTGTGCAATTGATCAAATTTTAATGAAGTTCAATAAGTCATCTCTGGTAGTCAA